GGCGCAAAAGTAACCTTGCGGCGAACAAGTAACCTTGCGATGCGTTTGTGCCAAAGTCAAATAAATAGTCAGCAATATTCCGCGTTCTGGAGCAGTGTAGCGTAACATTGTTTATTAACGTGTATTTCGCATGTGTTTACTATACAAATGTCAAAACAGAACTGACATTAGGGGCCAATCGCAAAATTTATAGCATTTTCTGATAGGAGGATTACTTTAGCGCCATCGCAAGGTTACTTTTGCGCCACAAGGTTACTTTTGCGCCACCTTGTAGTATGACAAATTTGAAAGGTTAAATGAAAACCTCGAGTAAAAGGGGGCGCTAGAAATAGAAATTCTGAGCGATACTACGAGGTGAGTGCAAGTATTTTAGTCAGATTTAAATATTAATTTGCTGTAATTTTAGATGCTTACCAAAAAGATAATAGAGCTTCATAGCTTCATGGCTTAAGTTAGTCACCTCTATTTCAAAAATTTTTAAAACACACGAAAAAATTAATATATTCACAAAGCTAGCAGCCAAATAAAGTGTAACTGCGTTTTTAATTTTTCTCTCTAACGTCAGGATTTTTTAAAGCGCTTTGAAATTTCTAGGACATGATTGCATAAAGCATTATTAAAAAGATTTGGTGCATTTCGGAGTAACACTGTAGGTACCAATTATAAGGAAAATTTCTGTAGAATTGAAAAAAATTAATTTTTTTTAAAACTTAATCCTTGGAGTTTTCCAATATTTATTTTTGAAAAAAATATATATCAAGCACACATCCTCGAACTTCTTCCTTCTAACTTTATTAATTTTGGATAAAAAAACAAGTAAAAACGTCTAAGTAAGGGCGGAGCCTAACATTAGATACCCAGCGCAAGTATTAAATATAGTTTTTTTCAACCTTTCCGAAAACTACCGTTACATGGTAAGCAGGGGTTGTTTTACCTTTATTTTAAACATCTTCGATAAACTTATATAATTATATGTTATCAAGTTACCGAAATTTATCGAATCATTGAAGTTTATAGTTATCGAAATTTATCGAGTTATCCATGATTATTGAGTTATCGAAACGTATGAAATTATTCAAATTGTTCACCGTTTATTGAGTTGTCGAAATTTATAGACACACAAAATTAGTTTTCGAAATTTACGAATAGTTATGGGATTATCGAAATTTCTAAAGCTAATGAAATTTATCAAATTATGTATATTTATTGAATTAACATTGTTTATATAAGCAACGAAATTAATCGAGTTTTCGATATTTATTTGTTTACTGAAATTTTTCGATTTGTCGAATCGAAGTTCTTGGAACTATCAATATATACCGAGTTATCGAAATTTCAAGATTATATAAGTTTATCGAGTCATCACTACTTATCGAATTTTTCCTGCTACCAGAGTGCAACGAGTTAACGAAATTTGTTGATAGCTAAGAAAATTATGAAGGTTTCAAAATTAACCGAGTTATCGACAGGCATCCAAAGTTTGTTGAGTTATCTAAATTTGTCGAACCCACGACACGACGATTCGATATTAGTCGAATTATAGGATTTTGTTGAGTTATCGGATTTTAGCGTTTTGAATTTCATTGAATCATTGATATATATAAAGTTATCGAAATTTATCGATTGGGTCAATCCAAAGTCCTGCCAAAGACCTTCAAAGATGTAAAAGCTTGTGGTCACGTTGTAGTTCCAAAGCAGGACATTTTCCGGTAAGTAATTTTGTATCTTATAAATTATACGACATGCTAAGTTAGAAAACCTCTTCAAGGGGTTAAAAAAATGTATAAAAATGGTCACATTTCGATAGTAACTAGCACTCCTAATACAGCATAAATTGTATGTACTTTCTCTGTGTAGGCTAAGAATGAGCCTCTCTCGCCTAATAGAAACTCACTCGAAAGACTAATTCTGCCTTCTCCCATTTCATGAATCAACAATAATTTTCTCCTTCCTTTTTACTGGTTAAGGCCAGTATGCAGCTTACCTTAAAATTTTAGAAGTATTAGTGCTCGTACACATGAGAATTTATTCTTGCTGGAACGCAGCCTCTTCCATTTAATTTCATATCAAATACAAATATATAATTTTTAAACGAAGAACGAAATTATCTGCTCCTCAAATTTTATCTGCTCTTATGCACTTCCGAAACGCTATCAGTCGCAAAACTCGCGATGCAGTCACACTCACAAAGCACAGGTGGTTTAAATAAATTTGTACAGGCATAGATGATTTCACACCAAAAGCAAACCACTTTTGCAAATTGCCAATAGCTCTTACCCATACCAAAATTAACCAGCGGCACGGTAGGGCCTCTTCCTTTGTGCTACGCAACGATAAATGCTTTCTATTTTTCTTGAACCTCCCAGCCAATTTTTGACATTTATTTAACCTTAATTTCAATAACTGTGTACAAACATAAGCATACAAAGTCAAGTAAAATGCGCTTTGGGCTCCCTCTTGGCGTATCAACACAAAATATGGGAACCTTTAAAAACAGCAATCGGTGAATTTCAAGAAAGAATTGACGGAATGAAGCGCGCCTTCTAGCTACAAAGGCAGTTAAATAATGGCATGCCATGACATATGTTAACATAAGAGAACCCACTCAACTCATATATCTTCGTCAATTCGCGGGCTTGATGCGACTGGCTGATTTATGTTGCCGCTGATTGCGCCGTTGGCATACCTGCGTAGGAAACGCGAATTCGGCTGTGTGCTTGCTTGCCACTGGAGATGTAGCCGCCACCGCGGTGGCAGTGAGGCACTAATGAAAAATCACTAACTGTCGAACCAATATAAAGGCTGCTGCTTGCTGCTCGTTGTTTGACCTAGCAGCGGCAGTGGCAGGAAGTCATTCGGGCGTTTTGTTAAGTAAAATTGAACTTTTACATCGAAAACAGACGTTTCCTTCACCTGTTGGCGCTGACTGAGTTGGATGGCTGGCTCGCTGGCTGGCTGGCTGGCTGATGCGTAGACAGCACTACTGATTCGTTTTGTTTACAACATTTGCGCCCGCTTTTTTTTTTAGTACTATATTTCATTGCTTTACCCGCGCTGAAGCGACACACCTTTGTTTGCTTTCTTCGATGAGCACTTCCTTCGGCAATTTTTGCCACGAACTCACGACCCATTACCCATTAACGTTGTCAGGGCGTTAGGGCGGTGGGTGTGACTTTGTCATTGTATTATTTGTATGAAGGCAAATGTATGTTTCAGCGCGCTTTCCGTTTTATTGCCCTCCACTTTGGCCTTTATGCTCATTCGCTTTGTTTGTTCAGCTGGAAAGTTAAATTTCCTCATTTTTTATTTGGCCGCGAGTGAGTTTACCGTAATTGCATGGCGTAAATATAAAAGTTAAAAAAAAACAAGTAAGAAAGTCTAAGTTCGGGCGGAGCCGAACATTAAATACCCGGCGCAAATATTAAATAAATGTTTTTTCACCTTTCCGAAAGCTACCGCTAGATGGTTAGCCGGGGTGTATCAATTTTGAGTAAATTACCGCCTTAAATTTCGAAATATTGAAGTTTCAAGCATTTCTGAAATTTACCGTTACATGAAAAGCGGCCGTAATTTTAGTCCGATTTCAACAATTTTCAACGGTTTGCTTTTATGTGGCAAGCACAATAACCATACCGAGCTTGGTACAAATTGGTTGAATGGTTACCGATATATATATATGTGATCATAAGTGGGCGGTGCCACGCCCATTTTCCAAAATTTTATCATAAGCATATTTCTTGGTAAAGGATTGTTCCAAGCATCAATTTTTAATAAATTAGCTTTAATATTTACTGATTTATCAAAGATTTTGTATTTCTCTAAATTACCGTCATATGGGATGTGGGCGTGGTTATTGTCCGATTTGAAAAATTTTCGCCCATTTGGTATCCTGTACCAAGGCCAATAACTGTGCCAAGTTTGGAAGAAATCGGTGCAGCGGTCGCCAAGATATACACATGTAACCATAA